AAGCCTGGGAGCTCTCAGCCAAGATCAAAGAACTGTCAGGCTTTTTTTTTTCTTTAGAAAATCCTACATGGCATAAGCAATTACCTCTCGATTCAGAAATAAACCCTGCAAAAAGCCAAGCTGTATTTAATCTGTTGCTGTGCTTTTAATTAGGCTATCTGACATGGAAAGAATAATAAAAGGCACTTGCTTTCCTGTGCTAGTCTTGTTGAAATGACTGGAAAAGTTTGATTCCAATCATGAGCTGCCTTAGTCAGAAAAGGGGGAAAACAAAGGGCCCCGATCACTTGAAATCCAAGAGTGAAAATGCCCTGGTAGAAAATGCCTAGCCAAGTACCTGGATTCAATTTTGAAACAGCAGAATATATGTATATAAATGTTTATGTATGYACATATGTGTATGTGTGTGTATATATGTATGTAAATATATATGTATGTAAAATTTTAGGCTTATATGGTGGGTAACCTTTTAAAATTTAATTTCAGTTTGATGGTTAAAACATGCATAAATTGGTGGTATGTGCCAATATTTAATAATGCAAAAACAATAGTAGTCACTAGTCTTTTTTTGTCAGTTCTGGACACATATTTGCAAACACTGGTGGAAAGCTAATATTCAGATGCCTTACTTTAGTAAATATGAGGTCATTACATTTGAGTTGCAGGAAATAAGAAGGAAGTTTGGGGTTAAAGAAGGATGAACCAGTCTTCAAAGCACTGGAGAATTAGCACTGTACCATCACGTTCCTTCTGCAGTTCAGATGTTGGTTTGGGTACGTGGAAGTCAGAGCAGAATYGCTTATGAGTCATAGAGAAGGCCCTAACCAGGAAGGAGTCGGGCTTCTTGAAACAACCATCATGGAATAAATTCTGATTCCCTGGACAAGAGAAAAGTACATGTGAGTTGTAGACAGCTACAATGCAGACTTGAAGAGCTAAAGATCCGTGGATAAGTAGGAAAAATAGGTACTAGGCAATTCAGTGCTAACATGCTCACACTGATAATGACAGCAACCCGAGTATGAGATGAATCTGCGTGCGGCWTTGCTAAGCAATCACATTCACTTTGAGGGAGAATTTCTCTCATTAGACAGAGAAATTCCAGTTACATCATTAATTCTATTAGGAACAAGCTTCTATTAGGCAGAATTTAGACCTTCTGGGTGGAAATATTGAAAGCTTCAAAAACAGGAGAAGATTCAGGGGAAAGATCATATATTTGGGAGGGCTAAATCACAGGTGCATGATTTTGTTTGCAACGTGATTGATCCTTAGTGGATCCAATGCAAGAAGATGCTTAGAGGGGCAGCTCATAGCAGGAAATGTGGTTACTGTGCTGCAATCAATGTATGTAGATGGTTATCAGTTTAAAAATATTCATTTTTTTCCACACATGTATATGTTTAGAGCTAGGATTAGACAAAAAAAAATGCATAGGAATGCAAACTTTATAGGGAGTCTTTTATCTTTTTCTTCATTCAATGCTTCACCTTCTAGTTACTTTAACTGGAATTTCTACAGCAGCTATTTATAAGGCAGCAAAATGCGGATTTGTAGCCGTGGATAAGTGAGAAGTTTGGACAGCCTCGTGCCCCTTCAGTTGTGTAAAACATATATCTTTAGTAACAGGGAGAGCTGGGGGTGATGGACCACAGCAGTGTGGGTGGGAAGGTATCCCCAAAAAACCTTAAGATGTCACTCCATGTAGTTATCATATGTATATCATACACAAAGATGGAAGGATGCACACAGAATTTCTGGTTTTTAACTCGGGATAAAAGCCCTGAGTGCCTAGGTCTGTTTCCTGCCCCTGTACTTGCTTTTCTGTTTGCTTTTCCTAGAACACAAGCTATTCCAGCTTAGTGATTGGAAGAAATCAAAAAAATTGCGCTTATTACACTAAAATAACATGTTTCTGCCTGCAGTGCTTTTGCAGGGCTTAGGATTCAYGGCACTGGTCTAGTTCTTGCAGCATGTGCCACCAAGCACAAAACTCTTCCTAAAAGCTCACAAGCAGATTTTTGTGCCACTTATGAACCTCTTCAGTCAAATTGGAGAACTGCTATAACTGCTTCTTTCTCTCTTTCTTGTTTTCTTTCTCTCTTTCTTGTTTTCTTTCTTTCTTTCTTGTTTTCTTTCTTTTTAAACCATCCAAAGCACAAATGTTAGAGCACTGGTTTGGCCATCTGCATAAGCTGAGAAAGAGGTGGAAGAACCTTAAAGCAGGGATTTAGATTCCTTTTCTTATAGAAATGTTCTGAAACTTTTATGCAGTGTTCTGGGCTGCTGACAGCAGCTACTAGGAGACTCATGAAAACTAGGGTTATGCCAAATTCCAGAGGAAAAAGAAGGCAGAGTCCTTYGGCCACTGGAAACCTCTGGGGAGGCAGGGAAAGAAATCCAAATGCCTTTAACAACATCAAACTATTTTTTTTTTTGCATAAATTGCCTTAGGAAAAAAAAATATTGAACTGCAGCTCTTATGATCTTCTCTRAAACAGCGAGTGTAGGAGCCTTGGTTTACCTGCCCCGGGAAGGGGTTAAAGCAGACTCATGAATTCCATGTCCTGAAATACAAAGCTAACATTCAAAACAAAGTAGACAGCAGTGCATGGTGGTATCAGTGTGAATTTTGATTTTGTTTTTTTTTCTAATAAGATACCTATAAAAATATTCCAGAGATGAGAAAGAGCTCAGCATGATTTGATTTGCCACTATTCATCCAGAGGCAGAGGCAAATTTATCTTGCGTATAACAAATAACTTCTGTCAGGCCTCAGATAAAAAGTCTGGACTGATGCTGATTGCAGGGAATCATTTTCTGAGAGAGAAAGTGATTTTCTTTGCATGAACATATCCATGGCCTTGCACTCTCCAAGGCCAGCAGCCAACATTAGCTTATCTTGTATTGATGATATCTCCTTGGTGGAGTTTATCCACCAAGCAACGTTGGGCAGCACCTTATCATGCTTCTCACAGGGGTTTTAATCCTATGATAAATGATGAAAATCCCTGGCTGAGATGCCCAGGCCACTTCCAGGAGCAAGTATGGGTGGTCCATAGCACGAAGCATCAGCATGGGAGGTCAAGCCCCTCAACTGGCTGGAGAGAGGTCACGACAGCCTAACTTCGAGAAATGACACCAGATAATTTGTACTCTTTCTGTCAATTAAATAATTTTATCCTCATGTAAAAACATCGTGTGATAATTAAGATAAATGTTAGCAAATGGCAAATGTGTCAATGCCTGCACTTGTCACGATGCTTTTGGGTAGTCGTGGATGTCTTGTCAGGTTTTTCTTCCCTTTCTTCCTCCTTTCAGGGGAGATGATGCGTTTGTCTAAGCAGTCAGCTTTGGAGAGGTCCATGTTTGGTCCATGGTGATCAATAGCATTTTGCTGCTGTTGTAATGGCATCTCTTCAGATGTTTAATTTTGGTAGTTCGTTTGACCTGTTGCAGAACACTTTTGTTGTTTCTCCTTTATTCCTTTTGTTCCTTTCCTTTTATTACAGGGCAGGTACCTCTCTAGCCAGGGAAACAAGAGTTTCATTTTGCTTTCCTGCTTTGCTGCAGCTTCTTGTAAATTCTTAAAGCAGCTTCTGCTTTAAGCTTTTTCAAGCAGTCCAAATATTTTTAACTACATGTTTTGTGTGGATGTGATGATATCCTTTCTGTAGATCTAAAAAGCTGTATCTATTTAAAGTCGTTAGAGCATCTTATTTTAATAGGGGCTATTGAAGATGTGTTTATGGCTACGTGATTCAATTTTTAAGCAAATACTGGTGGTTGAACTTGAAATATCTAAGGTTTTTTTCAGTTAAGTACTTTGTGACCAATGAAATGTTTGAAAATGTGCCTGTGTAAAACTCTAGTTAGTTTAGCTTATTTCTTGTTGCTCTTTAAAGGAGGTCTGACAGGAAAATAAGAAATGTCTTCTTGAGTTCTCCTCCAAGACTTAACCTACAACTTTGGTCCTGGCTTCATAAGCATTTGTAACCTCCAGTTCCCTCTGATTAATTGATCTGATTTTGAGTAGCCCCTTTCTAGCCAGCTAATGGGATACAGGCGTGATTAAACTCCTCCTTTTGTGCCGTTTAAATCCTGATCAGATTAGACTCACATCCACATCCCCCATCTTCCCCAGCATGCCTGGCATGCTGCTGTGGGAAACCGTGGGCATTAATCAGGATGGAAAGCTGTGCTTATAGAGCCGTCTAATTTGCTAAATAACAAAAAYGTATTCCAACTCCAAGGAAGAAGTTATCAGCTCTGGCAAGTTCCTYCTTATGCCCTTGATAGCTGTAACCTTTAGTGCTGGCTCTCATTTATAAACAGCTATGTTCATCGCTTGAGTATTTACATCTTCAAGATTTTAAAATCTCCAAACAGTTTACAAAGCTGTTCACRCAGCAGCAAAATCTTTACGCTCGACTCTCAACTGTAGAATAACATGAGGGAAGGGTGCGGAAAGAATTGTCAGCTTCCCKATAATTTATTTTGCTTTTTTTCTTCCCACCCCCTGTAAATGAGAAGAAATATAGAGTTAAAARTGCTACGTGGCAAAACATCTCGAGTAGGGGAAATGCTTTCAGTTATGGAGGCTTTGAAATGTTTTGGTCACTTGTGGGTCTTGAAATTTATGATATTTAATGAAAAGAACGCATTTAGTGTGGTCAGCAAGACTGAATTGTTGAGATCCTTGATGCACCTCTTTAGGATTTTTGTAATGATTTACTGAAAATGATGTTCAGTATGCAGCTGATAGCACATGAAAACTAGGATTTTTTCCTTGCTTTTTTTTTTACCCCAGGTGATCATTTGTAAGAGAAGATAGTACTATGCCAGGATATTGCTGTCTTGTCTTTTTATTTGTGTCTTCATTTAGCGACTGAGGATATTATCCTTCCATAAAATAAGAACAGTAAGATAAAATATTTAAGACATGCCTTAATTTTTAAATAACCCTCAGTAATACAGCTATATYTTTTTTCTCCTCCCAGAACAAAAGCCTGAAAAACAAACTCCTGTCAGGAAGCAAACTTTGTGGTATCCATGCAGAAGAGGTAAGCAGTGATCCTCTCTGTTTAAAATGTAACCTACTCAAAAAGAAGCTTCCTGCAATGGCTTTGATACAGAGGTCCTGGCATATGTACCATGTGCCTACATGATGAGTGTTCATAAAGCTGCTGTATCTCAACCCATTCCTCTAACTGCCCTGGAAGTGACTTAAGTGTTTTGGAAAATGAGTCAAAACTGCTAATTTTGGACAAATATGTTAAAGTGGGGACTTGTGAAAATCACATCTGATTTTGTAGATGTACCTCTCTAAGATACACAAGCCCATTTCTTTTCTTCCATGGCCTAGAAAATGAAAATCATTTTTTTTTAGAACAAGATAAAGGGCATGTTTTAAATAGTTTTCAGAAATGGCAACAATTTATTATGAATGATTATTAAAATGTTTCATTATTTGAAGAAAAGTAAGAATCTTATTTTGTAAAACATAGAAAGAATATCTCCTGTTAACTGAAACACTTAGCAAAGATAGTTTGTGATAATGAACCTTTTTTTTTTTTATATATGTATATATCTACTTATATGTTCACTTAACTGTGCTCAWGTGAGCAGTTAGTTTAGCTCTCCTTTTCAAAAAAGTGGATATTGCTACAAATGAATTTGACTTACTCCCTTTTGCCACCACTTTTTGAATATACAACTCCTGTGAAAATTGTTTTCTCTTCTTAAAATGTAGCAGGAACATAACACTTACATTTGAGTGTTTTAGTTTAAAAAAATTGTGAAGGCTGAATGTATTTTCCTCGGTAAAGACAGTATTTTCTGAAGTCACAACTTAGGAATTCATAGAGTGCTTTCTAATGATATTAGCTATTTGACCTAAGTGGGACCTACAACAACTGTTTCTGAGAAATCCCCACTAGTGAGAAATAATATATGTCTTCGCCAGCTTTTCTACATCTGTTATCTTCCTATATCATCAGCGTTGTTTTCAAACATGCCACAGTATTTGAATACAAATATGTTTTGCTCCCTTTTTAATGCTAAAAATTTGTCAGAGTATGTAGCATAGCTTTCTGTTTTCCCCCCTCTTTAAAGCTTGTTTTTCCTTGCTGCATAACATCTTGAATGTTTGGTAATTAACTTGAAGATCTCTTGCCTGATTATATCTACTTTAATATTTACAGCATAAATGTGGATAATTCTGAGGAGGAAGTCTAGAATTATTTTGTATTTAGTGTAGCGTGCCAAGTCTTGCTGTCAGGAAATTTCAGAAAACCCRAATCTGTGCTAACTAAACTCATGGCGACAGACTGCAAATGTGGTTTTAAGCCCAAGAAGTTCGGACTTGATGGATCATTCTAGTAAAAAACATGGCTTTTCAAGGAGTTAGTGACATCTGAACAATTAAAGATGTTACAGAAGTCAACCCATAAAGTTGCCAATGTTTTTACCTAACTGTCCTTCAGGGAGACTTTTTGGGGGGTTACTTCCTCAGAAGATCTGGCAACAGTGCCAGAACCAAGAGAGACTATTTGCTTGGTTTAATAATTAGCTGWCCTTGTGCAAGCTCATCAATGTCATCTTAAGACGTTGTCCTAAGCTCTGYTGGCTAATAAATGCCAAAAGGCCACCACGAAAGAGCTGCGTATCTCCAGCATGAGTATTGATAGAATGTGAAAATACTTGAATTTATGTTTTAAGAGAAATTGTAAAGATATTTCAAATAAAAGTCGAATTGATCTCGAGCCTAAACTGCTWTAAATCAGTATAGTTCTGCCTTTTCTGATAGAGGTCCGTATCTGGATACGCCACCTGGAAATCCTTGGGCGTTACATAGTAGAACCTATGCAACCCTATGGAAATTATTCTTTTGTGAAGCCTGAATAAATGTCATGATAGCTTATGGTAGCGGCTACAGTGCAGTTAAATATAAATAAAATAAGACTCTGGGTAGTGAAGTTGGGCATTCATGGAAGGCGTTAGCAACATCTCGYGTCTGAAATATATAATCCAAATGACTGTTCGCATAGCACTCACTTATGGTCATGTTTTAGGTGATTGCCAGTCTAAGTTTCCCTTGATAMGTTTAACTGGCTTAGTTAAGCTGCCATGGAAGAGCAAGAGACTCATTTGGGCTTTTTTATCTGCATCTTAAACTGATTTTAAGCTGCTTTCTTCACCCCCTTCCGCACTCCAATTATTAAAAGTACAAAGTATTTTAACTGAAATGTATATATATGCATTATTTATTTATTTATTTATTTATCCTTTCCTGCAGTCAAAAAAGATCCAGGCCCAGCTGAAAGAGCTTCGTTATGGGAAAAAGGATTTGATTTTTAAGGTGAGTTTTATTTCACTATCAGCAGCTAAGGCTCTAGAACTGATGTAATATTCAAGTAATCTGGAAGTGTGATAGCTACCTTTATTACTGTAGTTCTAAGGGAAAGATTGCCTTTTCACCATGCTGAATGAGTTCAAAACACCAAAGACAGATGACAACATAATGTAATTTCAGAAATATCATCTATTTCAATGGCATTTTTTGCAAACTACTGTAACAAGGGCTGTACTTTCTATTAAATTGCTTTCTGGAGCAAAGAGAAAACTCAAAGCCTACAAAATTATCATGTATCTTTGTTTCTAAATATATAAAAGTASGGTAAAATAGGTGGTTTCTGAACATCTGTATTCCTGTGCTCACAAAAAGCCGTGTTCTGGTTGCCTGACAGTGACCAAAATCTTTTGCACTATTCTATAGATTCCATATAATATTTATCATCATTCTGGTTAAATAACAGAATATTTTACAGCTCTTTATTGCTTATCTTTCCCTTTGATTAACAGTTCTCCATGGCAATTATTGTTAACACTGAAAGCTCTATGTTTGCAATAAGCCTGTGCAATAGGATATTGGCTAGATTTCTGCATCCCAGTTCCTATTAGTTGATGAACTTCACTAAAAGTGAAGTTTCTAGGAAAAAACTTCACTAAAAGTGAAGTTTCTAGGAAAAAAAAAGTACAGACACTTTGCTGAAGGGCATCCAGTCCCTGTTGGAGAGACACTTGGGTCATTTGGCCTGAGGCTGCTAATTGAGTAATGCTTTTGGGTCCTGCATAAACATAAGTAGTCATCTTCAAAGTGACSAGAACTAGGTTTTCTTTTAAAAGAAATTCATCTCGATATGCAGTCCAAATTATTTTCTGGAAATACTGAACTCTCACTAGTGTCTCTGTACTGTATGTCGAGTACTGGAGAGATGGGCTAGCATAGACAGCTTAAAATATACAAATCTAACATATAAGTGAATCTTTTTGATAAAGATGTTGATTCCAAGTGTTTTTCTGGAACCTGGATTTTTGGGTAAGACCCAAACCAAGGGAATAGGTTTGGAGATGAGAGATAGATGTTTTATGCTTCAAAATAAATTTTAATACTMGTCATTATTAGCAAAACCAACAAATTTCTCTTCAAAATCAATCTAGAAGTAATTGAGAATTTGTACAGAGGAAAAGATGATGTTTTCTCATCCTGCCTGTGCATGGAGGTTTGCATTACTTAGCTGAAGTACAGCTGCTCAGTACTATTACTTACTTATGCTATTACTGTCATAAGGCTAGCCCCCAAAAGGGGGGCTATTATGCAGGGTCATGGAGTCATGCTTAAGAAGAAAGCATTCCTGCTCTAAAAAACAGGAAAGGAAAGGATTGAAGGAGTGAATAAATTGGTAATGGCAATGCAGCAAGTTACTGATATTCCTAAAATGAAATCCTTTTTTTGACTCCTAGTTCAGTAGCCTGCTTAGAGGATTGTTCCTCAGGAATGATGGTTTGGTAGCTAAGTTATGGAAGTAAAAATCAGGAACTGGTGGGGAAGGGGAGGGAATTAAGTTCTGTTCTATCAGATGTGATACTGATAGTGTGAATGTGATTAGAAATGGGTTGTGCTGTGTCAGATGTGATGCTGATAGTGTGAATGTGATTAGAAACAGGTCTTATCTTAGGGAATATAGATCTTTGCAGCATAGACTCCAACTTTAATCTTTGGCAACTCAGCTGGAAACAAGGAATTTCAACCTGTTCTAAGCCAAATGTATCTATTTGGCAAGAATTTGACAAGAATTTTGCCTTCAACTTCTTTCTCTACACTGGGTAGGTGGAGTTCTTCATTATAAATTGGGATAGTAGGACTGTCTGCTCAAGTGTCGAGCCCAAATTAGAGTGAATGCAGCTCCAAATTCACTTACCTGCAAAAAGGTTTAGGGAAATCATAAAGCAATATAAGTGGTAATGCTTTGAGCACTTCACATGGAAGATGTTAATAAATTGTTACATCCTCTGYGAGGTCCCAGGTGTTGAGAAGCCCAGTTTATTACTTAGGCAAATGGTTGAAATAGCTCTTGACTGTGTGCTGTTGTGTGTGTGATTGACTTGTGTATTCAGTATTTTAATATGTCCTTTATGTGTCATCAGAAATGTCTTTGCAGGGTTGATTTGCCTGTCTTTTTCCGGACTAAAGCCATGAATTTTTGATCTGTGACAGCAATGCAATACCAAATTTCTGCTGACCAACTAAATATTCCTATGAGATTCACGTGAGGGAGTGTTGCRGTCTCTGCCCCTTCCATCAGAGCACATTGCTTTCTCTGGTGGAAGTGATAGTCAGGACATTGCCAATGTGTACGGGAATGGTAATGTTTATTTTACATAATTGGCATCTACCATAACCTGGCCCTCACTGAGCCCTAGTTCTGGGAACTGCTATTGCCGATGCCTTTCTATGCTGGCTGGAGCTCTCGGGAGTAAACAGGAGAGGAACAGGATTTGGGGAGCAGGGAGAAAGACGTTTTTCTCCCCTAATGCTCTAGTGAACTGGTAAATTATGTCTACTTTTAGCATCGTTGTGTGACAGTGTCTTATCAAGTAGTAAGAAATAAAATAGAAGTTTATTGTCTTGTGTTACATTCCTTTCTTGTACGTTGCGAGTGTTTTATGACCCAATAGATTGCTTATGGAGCATATATGGTGGTATAATGTCATGCAACAGTAACTAGTGGGAGTTAACACTCCCCTGTGTTAAATGAGGTGCTCACAGCTGAGAAGTTGCTGGTCTCTCTACTGCAATTGGGATTTAAGTTCCTGTGTCCTGGTCCAGTGTTCAGTCTCTTAACCTTCATAGAAACCTTAAGTAGTTGACAGAAGAGTAAAGCATAATTAATAACCAGTTTTCAATCAAGCTCTTTCATTTTACAGCTGCATTTGCACCATGCATGAGCTCGGATAGGTGCCTACAAACTCGGAATGATCGTTATAATACAGYAGTTAATAATAAAGCAGTTATAATAAAGCAGTTCAACATCGTGTCTTTCTGCACCCATTTCCACAGCTAAAGAGAAAGCACATTAAAAACAACTTTTTCTTGAATGAAACACAGCCAGAGCACTTTTCAAGGAAGTATCCCCATCCATAAAGTGCCCAAACTGATCTTGGAGGAGAMAACAGAAAATATCTCTGAAGGCTCTGCTGAACCTGTACTTAAAAGTCTGCCATAAATATACTCAATGGCATTTTCCAGGTTCTTTCAGCCATGTAGTGCTACACCCATCAATTCATTATTGGGATATGTAAGATTCTTTTTAAAGCATGCCCTGGATGTGGTAAACAAACCCTAAGAAAGGCAGGATGATGTGACGTTGCTTTCAGATCATACTGCCTGCACATAGTTAATATTTATATCATTCTTCCCCCTAATGTAAAATTGATGACATCATATGTGTTTTATTCCTTATTAGGAAGAGTTAATTCCAAGCCACAGTAAATCCATTTCCTGGAGTGTTTTCCTATTGCAAAATGCTTATTTCTGTAATGCCGGCTGTGTTGTTCTGCATTCCCTACCGAGGTGAACTGATGATAGAGAAAAAGGCCTGACTTAGGAGCATTAACTCTACGTTAACTACTGAAATTAAAATGACACTGTTTAAAAAATTAAATTTAGTAATTTTAAATCTTTCCTAACATTTTACAGATGTGCATTGCATGCAGCCACTTGTACAAAGAGTCAGAAGTTTCATGTTTTTCAACATGGTTCTGCTAACTACTTTAGTACAGTTGGTGGTGAGGTTTGCCCTAAATCCAGGCATTTCACAGATACACATTCACTTTACCCATGACTTGCACCCTTTTGTATGAGCATTGCTATTAACCCAAGAATGCAGCTTGTTTTCCACATTTGAAAATGAGTAAGTTGTAAGACATTTTAAAGGACTCCTCATTATGTTTAAAGAGCCGTAAAGCCTTTTTTTTTTTTTTTTTTTGCTTAAAAAATGCATTCCAAAGAAGCTATCCTGTTTTCCTTGAACATTGTTTATATATTTATTTAGCATGAAAAAAAAGGCTCTTATTGTGGCTTGTATATTCCCCTGTAATGCTAAATGTAGATGTTTTTAGTTGTATGTTTAAAGGAGGAGAAGAGAGGAGGCTGAGCGCAAGGGTCTCAACATCTCTAGCAGAATCCATCAGCTTGTGTCCTTCTCAGGCAGCATTTCTAGCCCACAGCCCATTTATTCATTTAATATGTTTCTGCAGAGCCAGGATCTTCTGTGACCTCCCCTTGCAAACATCGCCAGGCTGCTTAGGAGAAGRAGGAAAAACACTAATATAAAATAGCCGGAAAAGAGCCAGGGTAATGCAAAGCATCAGATGAGATTTTGGACAGAGATTTTATACCAGTGACTATTTATTAGAGATAAGGAGCTTTATAAGCTACAGGCTGACTTCAGCACTTCAACTGAATAACAACTAAGTAGGATCYGTCAGGAGAACCTTACAGGTTATTGCATACTCTCTCTCTCTCTGTATATATATAAAAAATAAGATTTATATATCTCCACTCAGAAGGATAATGCTTTAGGAGGATAACTCTCGAAGACTTCATAGACTGAAATGTCCTCTARCAATTTCCCATAGCCCAAATGTCAAGTTGAATGAGAAGGAATCAGCAAATTGAGCCTCCCTTTAATTATATTGTTATTTGTTATATTTTGTTGAGGTTTTCTGTGCTATCAGCTTCATCTTGCCAGTCTACTGTGGCTYGCATGTGGCTTTGATAATTTGAATGGGAAAAGCAGGACCGTTTTGCTTTGGATTGTGTTTGTTTTGACAAGAAAGCAGCAAAGGCATCCCGATCTTCTGCAGGAAAGCAGCCCTTTTCCTTTTGCAAAGCTTGAGCTCTCTGGTAAAACGCTCCTGAGCTGCAATTCTGCTTTAATCACAACAATTTTGTATGTGAAGGAAGGATGTGAAGGTAGGGAAAAGATGTCATTTGTGGAGGGCAAGTGAAGTTTCCGCTGAWAAACACAAAGGCCATAATTTCCTTTTTAGTGTGCGTCCATAATGGTTGCTAATGAGAGCTGAAGCCACTGCAAGTGGAATAAGCATCAAGAAAATGTACAATCTGTGAGATTCTGGAGGAAATTATGTTAACTGTCCTTTTTTTTTTTCCCCCTTTTTCTTGTGACTGTTTAAAATATAATTCCGATGTTGATGAATATCTGCGTTTATCTGCACATCTGATTAAATGGCATAGCTGCCAAAAAAACATGTTCTTCTCAATTACATTTAACATCTTGTGCTGCAGGAAGTAGGACAATTCCTGAGCACAAATTGTTCATGATTTTCTGAGATGCACATAATGCTGGCAGAATAACCACAGGAGAAATCTGGTTTTACTGGATAATTCAGCAGTAGCCCCAGCTTCAGGTTGTGTGCTTTCCAATTAAAAAGTTGCCCCAGTTAGAAAATATAATTATAAAAAAAAAAAAAAAAGCAAATAGACATGTATCAAATTATTTATCATTAAAAAAGCTGCTATAGTTGATGTTGAACCCACAAGACTTTAAAAGTGTCATAAAAAGCTACCAAATAGATTTCCTTTTTGGTTGTTGGTCTTTTTTTAAAAAAACTTGAAGTAGTCAGTGTATTCATCTCTTAATTCTTACAGGGTGAAACTGCTGCTTAGCCTTTTTCTGGCAAAATACTTTGAAATTTTGTTTAGGGTAAATGAAGGAAGCCCTTGGTGCTCCTGTGTTGCTGGTAGTATGACCTTGACTTTGAGAGAAATGTGAACATCTCTCCCTTCTGCATTTTACAGCTGYGATATTTGTAAGTTCTTGAAAATTCAAAATCATTATACCCAAAGCACCCAGGTCTTGTCTTGATATAGGTGCAGAAATTCATTTTGTTGTCAGTTGTTAGCTACAAATAAAAATTCATGTTATTTTGGTTTTCTCTGCATCTGCTTAAAGTCAGATTAGTCTTTTTTAATTTTCTTTTTTTTTTTTACGTCTATCTCTGGGAGATTTTAAATATGGGCATGTTGTCTAATGTAATTCCCAATGAATACAGGTGAGTGTGTTTATTTGTATTAGTACAGAGTATTTCACTGGAATAAATAAAGAAAAAGGGTATTTTATTCATCTGAACCATAGTGTGGTGATGCTGAATGAAAAAGCAGTCTAGTTGTGCAGCACTGTAATTGTTACTATTTACTGAGCTTTAAAAGCATCTCCCAAACCCTTGCACTCAATATATTGCCTTTATCCTGTGAGAAGCCAGATCTCCTCCCGAAGGAATGTGAAAGAAAATAATGTGCTGTAACMTAAAAAGCAAAGGATCCTTCTGTGTAACGTTCACACTAGTTGCCTGACCCTGACTTTAATTCCACATGTCCCCAAATGTGTTCTTGCTCTGTCCTTGCATCCTTAGCTGGTATTGTGGATGGGCAGAAGATGGAGAAACAAATCTGGAGTTAACCCCTTTTTTACCACCAGAAAACATCCTTTTTTACCCCCATTTTACCAAATGACAAGGGAAAGATTAGATAACTAAACTAAAATAAAATAATAAATGGGATAGAATTATTTTTCCTACTGACCTTGAAATTAAAGAGTAAATTTGCATTCACTTAAGTGGAAGGGATTTGAGCCCAGTTCCCACATAGCAGTACACATTTTCTCAGGCAAAAAAGGTATCCCTTGAGCCTGGGTGTTTAGCAAGGAATTCTGACCCAATTCATATCTGTTATTTGTAAAACTTAAATCCATTCCTTTCTCACAGGCACTGCATGAAAAATTATGGGGGAAAAAAAAAAAAAACCCTGTGCTATAGATTTTATTGTCTTTTTTTCTTGTTTTTTCCCGCAGGCACAACAGCTAACAGATCTGGAGCAGAAACTAGCAGTTGCAAAAGATGAATTGGAAAAGGCAGCCCTTGACAAGGTAAGAAGTATAACATAATGTAAGCGTGGTTCTTAGCTATGAGTATTTCAGTGTAATTTGACAGAAACAAATAGAAGCCTCGCCGGGGTTTAGATGCCTGCTTAATTGTGTGTACGTGGGAGTAGTTGTCCCGAAGTCACTGGGCCTAATTGTAATGCAGGGAGCTAAGCGCGATTGCCAGGTTGCTGAAGTGCAGGGCAATCCATCTGGAAGGGAATATCCTCCAAGGAATATCCTCCCAGTGCAGTTGTCTGTTAGAGCGAGGACGGCTGTGACGGAGAAGGCAAAGAGCGCTTGACATGAGGAGCTTTTAATGGGAATGCTATTGAGGAGTGCCAGCCGTTCAGGTTGCCAGCACCTTCCTTTCCTCTTGGAGTGTTTTCCTGTGTGACCTGAAGAGAGTCGGGCCAAGGGTCCATCCACATCTTCATCATCCTCAACAGTCAGGGCAGCGTTGGCAGCGACAGTGTCAGCTCAAGGCACAGAGATGCCCCACCAGGCAACATACACTTTGGGAACACAAATAGTGTTTGAAATGAGGAATTGAGCCATTGAGTCTTAGATATGTCTCTAAAAGGAGATTTTTATTGCAGCTTTTCAGAGATTTCACACATTGCTGTTAACTCTTTGTCTTAAAAGTTGCACATGCTGACAGTGGACGTGGTGTCTCTCGTAAGGATGTTTGTATTGCAGCAATTTCCTGGTGCCACTGGTGAATTAATCAATGATTTGTATGACCACAAACCCTATTACTGTGCATTGAATTCAGCGGTGTAACAACAATATAAATGGGTCTGGAAAATATGAAAACACGCAGCTATCAGATGCTGGCAGTGATTTTGGGTGCTGAGGGGTTGTCTTCGACATTGACCCTGTTATATGATATGTTTCCTAGCTCCAGCTTTGGAAGCTTGACATTAAACATTAAGTATTTGTCGCATTCAAAAAAATAATCATTTAGCAAATAAATTAAAGCACGGTTTGGTGTCTTACCAAACTATCATTGCTTAAGATTCATACTGATGTAGCTGTGAAATATTTYATGATATGTATACGTACTATTTTATATAGGTAACAAGCAATATTTTACGTATACATATACTCTTTCCATTATATGCCTCACAATCTTTGATTTATGCCTCTTCCATAAGTCTTGGAAGCTGGAGATTTACTAGCTGGAGTGCTAGTATTCCATATGTACAGACACAAGACTAGTACAAAGAACAAGGGCAAGGTTTCCTAAGGAAGAGCTTAGCCAATATCCCCCTGAATTGACTATGTGACCTCTGCCTCTGGCATTTGATTATGAGGGACAAAGATTTAAAGAACAGAGATTTAAAGCCAGCTTTCCTGAGTTGTTGCCACAGTGTATTACTCTCCTTCCAGCTGTACTTCYTTTAATGACAGATTGCTATTCTCATGAATATAATCTATATCTCTATGTCTTTCTGTATTGCTGTGAGTAAAGTTGGGGTATTCAGCTGTCGTTGCAAGCACTGCCTTGTAARTGCTGTAAGTCTGCACACCGCATAATATTTGGTAGATGGCATTTATGTTGCTTTTACTATTAAATAACATTTGTGATKAATTAAGTCCTTGTGATAATGTGTTGGGGTAGAATAGCCTGGGTGAAGGAGTGTGCTGGCTTCCTAGGCAGTTTGACGTGTAATGCCTATGTGGTAAGCGTGTTAAAAAGTGCATTAATTTCTTGCTTTAATTAAAGAAAAAAAAAAAGAGAAAAAAAAAAAGAGAAAAAGAAAAGGCAGTAGCTTTTCCTGAATGTGACCTAATGCAGAGAGGGGAAGCAGCTTGAACAGGGGGGTCGGACTAGATGATCTCTAGAGGTCCCTTCCAACCTCTACCATGGCGTGATTCTGCTGGTGCCAATAACCCACCTTTGGGACCCGGTGGCTTCTCTCCCTCGCAGGAGTCGCAGCTGAAGGCCCTGAAGGAGACGGTGCAGCTCTGCCTGTCGGCCGTCCTGCACGGGCAGCCCCCCGCCGGGAACGCGAGCCCCCCGAGAGCGGCGGAGCGGCTGCCGGCCCCCGTGCCCAAGGGCTCCAAGGGGCCCCTCCAAGGGACGAGCCACAAGGTAGGGCTGCCCTGGCTTCTGCCCCGTGCTCCCGCCTTGCGAGCTCGTCCTCCCTGTGCGCTGGAACGAAGGAGGATTTTAAGGTCATGGAAAGATCGGGATTAATTTTGAGGACGATTCTAAGCCCGTTCCTGGCGTCGGTCAAGTTTTAAGAAGTTGGAAGCAGCTACTTTCCTTGCTTGCTTATTTTATTTTCACTCTCTAAACTCAGTTAATGCCTTTGCTTTGCCTGGGAAAAGTTTAACCTCGTTTCTTGAACTACCAAAACACAGGTTTGGGGCCAAAGGCTCATTTACCTTTTTAAGCTCTTGTGGAGCTTCTACTCATGAAGTTTCTAAGATGGTAAAACAATGCAGAGCTTGATGGGAAGAGCTTTGAAGAAAAGTGTTTGATATCAAACCATTTTAATGCAGTCAAGAATCACAGTGATTAACGAATATCCTGATAATTTCCAGCTATTGCATTGTATTTTGCTCTTGAATTGAACTGCAGAGGCCTAGAAAAAAAATGTGATTTCAAATAAGAATGCAAGTTTTACTGAAGGATAACTGAAGGGCAAATTAATGCATCCCTTAAATTCTGACTAGTCTTGAAACACTTTCCAGAAATGTAATTAGGAATTACTCATTACTTAGCCTGCTCGTTGCTACTCGCGATCGATTTGTAGTTTCTGGGTGTAGTTTCTATTGATGCATTGTCGTTATGGAGGTGGAAACAAAAAAAATGAGCAAAGCTTTCTGTGTGCAATTAATATTGAAATGTAATTTGAGGGAACAGGATATAATTAGGGAGAGTGCRAACTGGATCTCAGATTGCTAGTCTTGCAGGAAGAATTGTAGGCTCCTTGATGGCCATTGTATAGTAAGAAAATTTGCCGTTCAAAAACCATCCCATCCAGAAATGGGGCGGTGTATTATTTAATTAAATTGCAGGAGGCTCATTTAGATGAAGACCCCACGCTCCATGATCTGCAGGGGATGGGACTCTTCCTTTGGGCAACCTGGACCGAGTTGCACCCCGGCCTCTCAGCACATTTTTCCYTATCAATGTGGCCCGCAGAATTGCCTGCTCTGTTCTTATCAGGCTGGAAATGTTTGTGCCTGTGTCGTGGGAACACGGGAGTGCTCCAAGATAAGGTCTAACAAGCTGCTGTGCCCGTGTTTGATGCGCACGGAGGCTCCACAGCTTTTGAGATCTCCTTGGTTTTGCAGGACTTGCCACACAGAACTCTTAGGTCTAGGAGATGAGAATTAGACTTTTACCCTTTTGGTACAAGACACTCCTCCTTTTTTTTTTTTCCATATTCATATGGGTTCTGTGTTTAATATTCCTGTCTATAAAAAACAGGATTATCCCCCTGGTCCAGCCTTTGCAGAGGCYGCCGTTTGCTGCATCCGAGTGCTGGAGTGAGTGATGCTGCCTGTCTGATAGACACAGCTCATGTGTCTCTGCCCTTGGCATATGCCATGAAAACGTCTCAGAAAATCATCGTTTGCAGTCCTGCTCCTCCACACACTGGCACCTCGTTATTATAAATCTGTACGTTATAAATAGGCAATTGCAAAACAACTGAAAGCTGATACTGTGAAATAGGCTGTCAAGAAATCCCTATCTTTGCAGAATTAGCCCCTCTCCATCTGACCTGGATTTTAGAAGGCTTTCTTTTCTTAAATACATAATGATATCCCTTCTTATGTTTGTGTTTCTTGCTTTGCCTTCCTCCTACGACCCAGGTGCAGTTGCACGTTATAGCTTTTTCCTTTCTTTAGATTTGCAYGAAGGTTTTTAAATAGCAGGCTCTTTTAAATAGAAGGCTCTTTTATGTTTTAGGTGCACATAAATTTGATCAACTAAATGCTTTTGTTGGGAATTTCTGAAGAGCGATTCTTAGGTAYCTTGTCATGTCTGATGAGCAGCACTTTGACCATCAGGAAAGAAATGATGCTCTGCCTGATAAGTATCTTCTTTCAAAGACACATCCATCCAGCCTAATTATTTTTTCTGAAAATGTCAAACTTATTTTGAGATATTAAAAGGCTTTTAAAAGGTTTTTAAAAGCTACATCATAGAGTGTGTCTCTATCACCAGGTGCCAAGCGCCCCTGGCATTGGGCTAAAGTCCTGGTAAAAAGCACAAATGAGAGGATTATATGTTGTGTTCATAGCTTGGTAATCATCATATCTAGAGTTCTTTCAGCATCTTCCCTCATAGTGCTTGTTGGAGATGATACTGAAGAGGAAAACATTGTGTAGAAAGGTTAATTAGGCAAGAAAATTGCCAAATTTCTTGTGAAGGTTCATTTGAAAATGTAATGTGTTATTGATGTATTTTGGTCTTTCTGGAGACAGTGATTTAAAGAAACATAAATCAGAATAAAAAAGCTGTTGGTGTGGATAGCTCAGGGATTTGGAGTAGTGGGTAGCAGGAGGAAATTTTTACATTTAGGYTGTAGAAAACAATTTCCCCTAAAGTGATAAAAAGCAGTTACAATCTGAGTTGGTTTTTGTGGCACACATTAAATGAGTCAATAATCTTTACACTGGACAAGAATGTAAATCATGGGTTTTACCATCTGAAACGGAARTAATGTGTCTGACCAAAGCCATTTTTCTGTGAGAACTCCTTATAACCCTGCTATATGTGGCAGGACGTTGCAAAAAAAAAGATCTGTGAAGTTACAGCTCTCTTTATCTTTTTTTTCAATTATATGAAATTATTATGAACCTTTTTATTTTTCCATATGTTTTAATTSATCTTTCTTATGGAAGCTAACATGCTGCCTAGAGGTGATTTTACACTTGTACATGTCGTTTCAAGCATTCTTGGTGGCACGGTGTAAATATGCCTGGGTCCCAAATGCGACAAGATGAGCTTCAATAATGCTGGAAAATTAAATACAAATCACACGTCAAACACAGGGGAAGTCTCTGCATCCAGTGGCAAAGATGAACACAGAAATAATTAATTTCATTAAATTGAAATAGAAATTTAATTTTTATTGAATTCCTATTACTTTATTGATTCTATTATTATATTTTATATATTATAATATATAATATATAAATATAAAATTATATATTGTATRAARTATATATTATATGTATTTTATATATATTSTATATATAAAATTATAGATTATAAAATTATTCTATTATTCTACATTTATTTATTCTATTATTCATTAAATTTCTATTATTTCTGAACACAGAAATAAAGAATTTCATTATAAATGCCAAGGGTTTTTGGCATTGAGAAAACAGCACTATTTATCTTGGAAAAAAAAACAAATTTTAGTGTGTCACTTGCTACACTCATTCCCATTTGTTGGAAATGGCATAGGCTCTGCAAAAGATTTTGGAAAGGCCGTATATGAATTCAGGACCCTGAATTTTCTACATTGCCACTTTCATGTATTTAGGTTGACAATCAGCCCAAGTGCACAGGTAGTGAGCATCCATCAGCTCTAGGTGCTGAGCAAGACTGCTGGGCAAGTCAGACAACACTAGCCTCAGGAGCCTTAAATTCCTCACTAATTTTAGCAGGATTTCTGTTTTTTCAAAAAATAAAATTTATTTTTAAAGGATCTTTGATTTATCCAGGCTCAGGACCTTACCCATTACCAAATGAAAGAAGAGCCGCAAAATCAGAAATGATAAATACGAATATTTTATATAAAAAGTTAATATTATGTTAATAAAATAGTTAATATTATGCTAAATATTATTATATTATATTATATTATATTATATTATATTATATTATATTATATTATATTATATCATTGATAGTACTGTTGAATAGTCAAATACAATTCATTAGAAAGAAAAACAACTTATATTTAGTTATATGTGTATATACATATAACTCAAAAATGTACTTTTGACGGACTGAAGAAATGTCTGACACACGTAGACTGGACCAAATCCATGTCTAGAAAGACTGAAAGAGGAATATATTTAAACTGTGTTTTGAAATTGTCTTTTTCAGGTGCTCGAAAACTAACATAATAATTTTTGATTCATGAAAAATGAATCAGCCAAATGTAGCAACATATCATCTCATCTCATCTCTCTCCCTTAATAGGTCAGGAAAGATATCAAAGTCAGAGTAAATTGCTTAAATAATTTACGTCTTCTGAAATTGGAGCTATTGATGATCGTATAATTTGCCATGGTTTTCCAGTATAAATGAAGGTTTTGACCCTTCGAGCAAAGCAGTCATAAATTTTTCGTTCAAGAACCTGTGAAACAACACCAGTGTAGTTACGGGCTTATTTTTGTCATTAAAAGGAGGACTGAGACTCTTAAAGCTTTTCTAAGGTGTCCRATTGGTTTTATTTGGAGTGAAATCTGTTGTTACAGCATGCAGGATGCACAGCTTGGGAGTTATGTCTCTCTAGGCAGTAAATTTCAAGCTTCAAATTCAATTAAATTCAATTTCAAATTTCAAACTTTCGCCATCCTATAACATACAACATTTTGCCATCCTCACACATAAAAGTCAAAAGAAGGAAATAACATTGAAGAAATTATGCCAGTCATTTTCCCAGTTAATTTCCAAGAGAGGAAGGAATATGTGTGCCCTTCCAAGGTATGTACCATGGAAACCTCAGGTCCTAACAATATCTATAAGGTTAATGTAGTAAGAAATTTGTTTTTTAAAGAAAAAAAATGTAATTTGATTGCAGAAGCATGACTAGAATGATCTATTCACGAAAGCTTCTCCTCCTGCTTATACTTTACTGTAGACTTGCATATAATATTTTCACAATCAAATAGATATCAAACATATTATATTTCCTTTGATGGTGATTTGTCGCAGAATGGCAGCTCCTCCTTATTTCATTTTCTGAGTTTGCTGCTGCACAACTAGTCCTTTTCCTTCAGTGACTAATTTTTAATAAACTTTCATTGCACACTGGAAAGTGTTGAACACCAGATATATTAAACTCGGAAGGTGAGGCTGTTTGATTTTATTGCTCACTTTAAAGGAGTCTTCAT